GTATTGTATAGCATAATATTGTATAGTATAGCATAGTATATTATAGTATAGTTTAGTATTGAAGTATTATTTTGTATTTTATGTACGTTTGCATATCGATAGATATATGTATATATATATATATGTATGTATGTATAGGTATATATATTTTATATTTTATACAACATGGTATTCGTTATATATATTATATATATATATATTATTATTACTATTATTATTAATATTATTTTGTAAATATTTAAATATATAAATATATACGTATATGTTTACATACATATATGTACTTTTATATATATATATATATATATATATTGGCATCGCATTGCTCAATTGATGATCTAAAGTGGCGGGTACGCAACCAGCACATCATCGCCATAACTATGATCGAGAATCCAACTATGGTACAATCTCACGTTTTAGAGTATCCATCTTATCATTCACGCTGACAGTGGTTCATGACACGTTATCAATTTATCCCTGAATAAAACACATTAGATGTGTATCGCTCGAGACTCATTTTACAATCATATATGTTACCCCTTGTATAATACCTGATACGTTTTGGACTTTACTACTGACAGATATTCCAAACCCTCTCTGTGTTCTATTGAAGTGTAGATGCCGTGAATTGTTTGACACAATCTGATCATTGTGTCGAAAATATAGCTCGATATGTCATTTTTCAGCAACTCGTGCCTCATGTATATGAGTACCGCCGGTGGACTTTGAGATTTATATAGCAATACAGCATCCTTCCTTCTACCAAGGAGCACTGTACTTGTACAGAGAATCAGCACCAAATAATTCAAATATGTAATATTGCATGGAAAACCAGATGCACATTCGTGTTTGAACAGTTGGCCATCGGAAGGTTTTTCTCAGAGACACGCTGACCAATGAGCTATTTTGCTTTGATACAGCAAACCAAGGTACATTATCAAAGAAGGCGAAAGAAAATCTGCTCGCCGATGGATATAAAGTTATATACGAGTACGCTACCGCCACTGAACTGCACGTAAACACTATCACACACACACACTGGGCAACGGAAACGGAAACGGAAATGGAAACAAAGGTGAATCACCATGATATATCGGTCAAGCTCAATATACGTAGAAGCGTGCTATATACCGATCCGATGTACTGATATGTTGTTGCAACCCACGGAATTCATGCTAGAAACTGAGAGGACTTTTGCAATTCAAATTACAGATTGTACTGCAACCAACAAAGGTGACTGACACGATGTGGGCAACCGAGACCCACACGGTGTTCAACGAGGGTACCGAGACCGTCACAGCTACGTATATGCCCCCCGAGCAAGCACAAGAATGTAAGACACGTTTCTGCACTGATACAGTTGTATCGTATAGATCCCGAGTTCCAATTAGTTCTAGGCGGCTCGTAGTACAGATTGGTCGGAGCGTCTAGAGACGCCTAGTCATATTCTATGATGACCAAATGCGAGATTGTATTTGAAAAGCTCGTTACCGATGACTGACATCGACATTTCATATTCTGTTTGTAGTTTGCCACGCCGAATCCTGCATGGACTGGTCCTTCATTATCATCGCCTACAATGAACCGGTAAGTGGCAAATACGAGGGCTGGTACAAATTCTATATCTTGGTTAAATGTCCCTGTACTTCAATTGCGAACAGAAAGTAAGGCCAGTTGTTTGTCTTAATATGGTCGTGCTATCACTCATATCATCTCGCTACATGATCGCCCTGCATATGCAGCAGCCCTTACGTCGTCTTCAGGTGCGCATGAAAGCTCAATTCTACTATTGTCAGCCAGTATGAAAATATTTCAGATCATGCCTAAATACTAGGGGACCTTGTGAACTCAGATGTTCATCCCAATGCGCTCTTAAACCATTTGCAGGTTGCTCGGAACACCCTGCGCACGCTCATGAGTACTGTACCGGGGAATGTGTCTTGTGAATATATAGTTATTGACAACAGGGAACGACAACAGCACGGCTTCCAACTACTTCAACCTTCTACTTCACATCCCCGGATCAAAATTGTTCCTGCCAAAACGAAGGTACTTATACTAGTATGCTTTTTGGGCAATGTTTTTGACGTGTAGGTACAAGATATCTACATTCCCAAGTCACTAGGTATCATGTGTGTACATTCTGCACACCAATTGGGAATGAAATCCCCAGTTCCGTTTCAAAGAATTATGAGTACTTACTGTTTGCATATCACTTATCGTACCAAGACAATTTGGTGCAAAGTTCAACGTGTTGTCACATTGTTTGGTAATAATAGATATCCCTGTCGCAGGTTTCAAGGGCAGCGGCTCTGAATTTGGGTGTGGAATCTGCCAAGGGCACATACATCTCCGTAGTAAGCAGCAATGCAATTCCATCCCATGACTGGCTCGAAAAAACTCTCAATGTATTTCGCACTTCGGACAGCATTGGTATGGTCACACCCATGATAAAGGATGAATATTCGTGGGTCATCGAGGCGGGTGGTGTACTTTATAGCGATGGTACCCAAGCGACGGCAGCTTTTAACCCATACAGAAATTCTGAGAGCATATATACAGGGTACAACTATGTGCGCGAGGTAGACTTTGCCTCGCATAGAGCCTTCACCATCAGAAAGGACTACTACATGGCTGCTGGAGGTATGTTGAGAATTATGTTGTGGCCCTTATTGTGCGTACCTATTTGATGTAGGGCTTTCATACCCAAGGATTCTATTCGTCATGCGTGGTAGGTGTATTCCTGGTTTGAAATAATGGGTCAAATTTTTGAGCAACTGAATCCGCTTTTTCTTCGGCAGGCACGATATACAGCGCGCAATGTGTATAAGACAAACGCGAGCTATGTATTCGAGCAACAGATTCACGCGGCGCGCACAGAACACTCATATGTATTTCAACTTATTTTAAAATTGTAGGTATGCCACAAGACTCAGACATTGCTCAGGTGGGTATGTTAGACCTGTGCATGCGCCTGCATGGGGCTGGGCAAAAGATTATGTTCCAGCCCAATTCTCAGGTCACAATCCCTCAGGTAAAGCATGAAACAGATTTTGAGAGCAGTGAAGAATTCAGGGCCTTTCGATCTCGATTTGCGGATGCGCTAGCGCAATACCCTGCCCCCGGGACACCCTACGACGAGGTATTGTATTGAGCTCATTTATTTATCATAGGCATGGACTTTTTTATTTCAAATCCAGTTCACCATTACAGGTTTAGGTTCAACTTTTGTGGCGACGAATAGTTAGTAGTTCTACTTGTCTTTACAAATGTGTAAAGTGTACATTTCTAGGAAAGTGATTGACCAGTCGGTGTCTCTCCCTTCTTATTGGTGGAAAACATACGTCCACCCCTTTGACCGACACATGTGCTTGTGTTGCAGGTCAAAGATCATCTCTCGTTGGGACCGAAAGTATTATTCATCAACGACCACCTTCCAAACCCATACCGTACGGAGAATAGCGAAGATGACATGAGCGTGCTTTTATACCGAAGTTTAGTGAAAAAACGAGCGAGACCTGTGTTGATATTAACAGATCCCAGACCAAAAAGAAGTGCAGTGGCTACGGGTGGTGGCTTGAAGAAGTTCCTGGGCGGAAAATCCCTCGGTGTGTCATACATGTTTTGGATACAGGAAGCAATTTGCGCCATATGAGCGATTCTTCGACACAATTACTTTCTATTATGAGCGATTCTTTGACACAAATATTTTCAATCGTACCTAATATATACTCCAACGTTGTGTGAAAGTTCTTAGCTGCGGATGAAGAAGCAAACCTGACTAATCTGTTAATGTACATTCTAGGAGCTGGTACTGAAAGTGAAGTTAAAGAGGGGTCAACGAATGAAGAGGACATCCGCATTAAAGAAATGCAAAACGATGGACTGGTCAGTATGAATTTTATCAATGATGTAGCTATTACATTACTTGCGGCTTCGGATTGCGCACAAGTCCTTACCCACTGTCGTTGAAAATTTGTGCTGCTCACAGCGTTTATAGTTTACCTTTATTTTAAACTGACTGCCATCGTAAGACGCTGAATATGGCTTATAATCAGTCCTTTGTACTAAGTGTTATATTCACAAATTGACAATCGCAGGTAATGACAAATCTTGGGGTAGAATTATTAGCTCTCAGTACGGCCCAATTCCGAGAATATTTATCGGATCCTACTGTGGGGGGAAAAGAGCCTTGTGCGGGTATTAGCTTGGTTTTCGTAGGTGCTGACTACGTGGCAAGTGACAGATATCTAGCTGTGATCGCCAGTCAGTGCGCCTCCGATATGCCCCAGGTGTGAGTATAAAGTAGTGCGCCACTTAAATAATATCTATCCATGTTGCCTACCTTTATTTTCTGAGGAGGAAGCTAGTCTTATTGTATTTACTGTACTATATGCTCAGCAAGTATCTTGTCTAAAATCGATTGCATACCTTATCTGACCATATAAACAGATAATTGCTAACACCGCGGGCCAGAAGACGACATTGAGTCATATCAATAGTAAGAGACTTGTGACGAGTGAACGTATACCCGATCATCGCAAGGACCACCTCAGTTTTTTGACGACATACAATCGCGTGCTCGTGCCCGGCAAGGCTGAGCTGTATCGTTTGAAGGAGATATTACCCGATATTAACGTAGCAGTTTGCTCCGATGTGTTTGCTATGCGGGACACCATGTCGGCTTTCGACCAAAGAGAGGGTGTATTGATTCTCGGGAAGTATGATGCATCCAGCATAGAATCATTGGAGAGGATGTTCATAGCCAATGTTTGGCGGCCATTTCAGAAGGAAGTGAATGGGGATGTGTCCGTATATGTTGTGGTATCCGGTGCGCGTGTGAGCTTCAGTAGAAATAATAACAATAGACTGACGTTCTTACGAGAACAAGACGCACCCACGTTTTTCTCCAAAGCAAGAGTGGCTGTTATTCCTGGGTTGGGTCTAGAAGACTTCACATCTACAAGTGTACAGGAAGCTATGGCATACGGTTTACCCGTCGTAGTAAATAACCTGCATCCCAGTTCAGAGTATATCGACAACGATGCCAACGGATACGTAGCGACTAATCCTGAAGACATGACAGCAAAGATGTTGAAACTGTACGAGTCAGAAAGTTCATGGAAAACAAATGTCGCTGGAGGGTTTGGAACTATCAAGAAGCAGCACTCTCTTTCCAGTGTGAAGAAGTGTGCGAAAGAGATTGTAACTTGGGCGGGAGAAAGATCTTGAACTGTGAAGGGAATGGCCTTGTGAAACACAGGGAAATTCCCAGCCCTGCTAAACACCGTGTAATAAACTGCAACACTTTTATTTAGTTCATTTGCAATTTCCTTCGCGGCGGAAGATTTTATTGCTCCTGCCAATGCTCAACATTGTTCTACATGATGTGTCGTAAAATATCGTGATAAGGCATTATATTTCATTTCCACTTTGCTTCCAGAATCCTGAATGTTGACCGTTTGGATATAAATATTTTACTATTAATTTGTCTACACAACAAATATATGTATATATATATACATGTGTGTGTATGTATGTATATATATATATATATGTATATATGTATATTAATATATATATATATATATATATATATATATATATATATAT